AAGCTTCTAAAAACAGCTCCCAGAAAGAAGCTTTCGGAAAGATGTTTCTAGAAGAAGCTTCCTAAACGAGACTTCCGGTATGAAGTTTCAAAAAGAAGCGTCCAGAACTAAGCTTCTAGATGAAATATGCTTTTTATAAGAATGAAGCTTCCAGAAACAAGCTTCTAAAAAGAGCTCCCAGAAAGAATCTTTTAAAAGAAGCTTCCAGAACGAAGCTTCAAGCAGAAGCTTCCAGAAAGAAACTTCTAGAAGAAGCTTCCAGAAACAAGTTTCAAGAAGAAGCTTCCAGGAAGAAGTATCCAGAACTAAGCTTGTGAAAGAAATATGCTTTCAAAAGAAAGAAGTTTCCAGAATGAAGATTTAATAAAAGAAATCTTTCAGAAACAACCTTCTAGAAAAAGTTTCCATAAAGTTTATTCAAGAAGCTTCCAGGAAGAAGTATCCAGAAGAAGGTTCCAGAACTAAGCTTTCAGTCTTCATCTATGTGGTTCCTAATCTTCTATTCGTTGTTCTCTAGTTTGAAGTGGTTAAGACTAGGGTTCTGATGCATGGTCATTATCGGACGACACGTAGAAGTCGAAAATCGATATTAGACGTCATTTTGGAATCCAAGATGGTGCCATCGGGTTTCAGACAAATTGTCAAATACCCGGAGACGTCGCGTAAATGCTAAAAATGGGTATTCGACGCTATTTGTAGGATATTTGACTTTTTTTTTTTCTAAAATCAAAAGCCACCATTTTTTAATTTCAAGATGGTGTCGGACATCGATATCCGGCCTCTAGATGTTACCCCGATTTCAAAAATACTCAATTTGATCGGTATTTGACAGTATTTCACACTTTTTCTGAACCAAAGCAACCATCTTAGATTTGAAAATGGCATCGGACATCGATTTCTGGCCTCTTGACGTTACTGAGATTTCGAAAAATATCCATATTGATGGGTAAGTATTTCCCACTTTTTCTGAAACCAGAAGTCGCCATCTTGGATTTCAAGATGACGTCTGACATCGCTTTTTGACATCTATGTGCCATTCTCGTTTCGAAAATAGCCATACTCTAGGGTATTTGACACTTCTGGATAGACAATAGAAAAGGGCCCATCAGCATTTGTAAGCAAACCGTTCCAAAGCCCTTTCATCACAAAGCGAAGGTCACCCACGCAAACCAACACCATCATCGGATAGGGGAAACTTCCACCTACACGATGATGGTGTTGGTTTGTGTAGGCGGCCTTCGATTTGTGAGGAATGGGCTTTGGAACTGATTGTTTACAAATGCTGATGGGCCCTTTTCTATTGTTGATCCAGACTTTTTCTGAAATCGGGAACCGCCGTCTTGGATTTCAAAATTTCGTCGGATATCGATTTCCGGCTTATAGAAGTTACCTCGAATCTAAAACAAAAACAGTATTGTCGGGTATTTGATAGAATTTCCCACATTTTCTTCATCCGGAAGCCGCCATTTTGGATTTTTAAATGGTGTCAGATATCGATTTTGATTCTCTAGACGTCACAATAAATATAAAAAGTGGGACATGACCATTTGCGACGAAACTATTGAGTGTAGCATTTTGATATCTTCTAGAATGTTTCTTCATTTTTTGAGTACCGTAAAATGGGGCAACATTGATAGTTTTTAAAAGTATATTCTAAACATTTTTTACAGCAATGAATGTTTTTCAAATTTTATATTTTTAAAACAAGTACTGAGGATCCAAGAGTTAATTCGTTAGTAATATGTTTAACGGAAATTAAAGCATTTACACTATTTTTTTAGTTTTGTGACCGAACTTCAGTATTTTGATTTGGGGTTACTCGATGAATGTAGAAAAAAAAATGGGTGAAACTCAAACAATTTAGTTCAAGAAATATGAAACTTTGAATGAGTATATAATCAGAAAACCTCATAAGAAATAAGAATACAACATTGAATTTGTTATGGCTATATCAGAAATATATTTCATAAGTAATGGTTTGCGTGCTTTTTCAAACAGCTTTTTAAAAACTATATACGATATCAACTGAAATACCCTAAGCTACAATATGGAACCAATGTTTATAATTTGGAAAAAGCGCAGCGTGTAAATTTAATCTTTATATTATACTATCAAAGTAACCCGCATAATCAAAAACACCCCGTTTTACGGTACTTTGTTTGGGTGGTGAACATTTTGGATTTATAAAAGGTGTCGAATATCGATTTTCATTCTGTAGGCTTCATTCCTATTCCAAAAATACCTACGTTGCTGGGTATTTGACAGTATTTCCCATTTTTCTTAAACCATAAGCCGCCATACTGGATTTCAAAATAGCGTCAAATATTGAATATTGATTTTCGGCCTGTAGACGTCACTCCGATTTCAAAAATACACATATTTATGGGTATTTGACAGTATTTCCCACTGTTTTCTTAAACAGGAAGCCGCCATCTTGGATTCCAAAATGGCATTGGACATCGATTTCCGGCCTCTAGACGGCATCCCGATTCCAAAAAATACCTAAATTGAATGTGACACGCGTGCTGTTTGAATCGGAATGTGACACGCGTGCTGTTTAATTTCATTTTCTATAGATCAGTTCATGGCCCCGAAGCTCACATTCTGTCCCTTTCATTTCACACCGTAGTAAAAGTGACGACAATAGATGGAAACAAATGGAAGCCACCCTACAATGATAAATTTGACATCCATAACAAAAGTCAGAAAAAGTACTTGAAACGAACAGCTTCGCTTCAATGCGAAAGTCAATTCAAAACAAACAGCATGAAAACTGATCGAAAGTGGTTCTGTTGATGTTGAAAGAGATCTGCTCGAAGAGAAGACAGAATGACTTTCAATTGAAACTGATGGTTGACAGCTTCGTCGGCGTTTGACGATGTTTGATTGAAAGTGACTTTGTTGGGCCTTACCGTCAATTATGAAAAGTTTCATGCAAATCGGAGAAGGTCGAGTCTGGAGTTCAATTTTGTTTTGCTTTGGCCTGGAAATGCTCAACTGAATGATGGCATCACTGTACCGGACGGAAAGAAATGGAAAAAAGTAAAGATTAAGGGGACGAGCTGCTGCCGCTGGTGAAGGAAAAATGGTTGAATGATTTAAAGAAATTGCGGAAACCGGAGAAATCTTAACCCAGGACACATCAGAAGAACTCATCAAGATTCACGACCCCCATCGGGCACTGCTTTGGAATAGTGTTTTAATCAATTGTAAAATGATTTTAAATACTTTCGGCTCCGTAAAGCGTTTTTACCGCATTGAGCCTTACCGATTAAACGAATGAAAAATTGAGAATTGATCAATTGAAAATCAACCAACTGAAATTTAATTCTAGAGCAGCCTTGGTACCCCAAATATGATAGAATCTCACTTCCCCCGGACTAGCCACCTCACCCGGTCCATCCGCAACCATCTCATCAAAGAGCCATTTGATCTTGATTCATTGTCCATATTATAGCTCCCTATTGCATGCGAATCAAACACATCCACACCGAGAACATAGTCCCAAAAAGTCAAATCTTTGCTCTTCATTCCACATGTTAAGCTGGTCAAATTGGTTTCGCTGTGGACGGACTTACCTTATGGTAGCTTTGAATGCGAATTCATACCGACCAAACAGTCGTTGTTGAAGCAGGGAAGCAACCCTCGGGGGCTGGTCAAACAGACTGGCGACTGCCGGCTCGGTTCGGGTTTGGCTAGGGCACAAGTAACCACAAGTTGTTAAACAGTTTTCTTCGCAACGATAAATGCTGCTGAAGCAGTAGAGAGGAGAAATACCGGGAGCAAGCGGGAAGGAATAACAAACAGAGAAGATTCGCTCCGTAGTCTCGTTGTCGTCGTCGAGGGATTTAAATAGGATCGAGAACAATTTGCTGCCAAGAGGCCCAACAACAAGGATGGACGGGAGGTGGAAAGGTGGAGCCGAATTCCCATTTGGTTATGTTGTTATTGCAGTGATTATTTTGCTAGAGTTTATTAAATTAAGAGCACTTGAGCACATGTTTGGCTTTCGGTTAAGGACTCTCTGCATTTCCCGAAGACTACCACTGGAGTACGTTAATGAGAAAGTGGAAGATTATAAAGTATACAACTGCTGCTGCTGGGACCCGGTCTTTCAGGACTTCTTCTTGCCGAGAGCGGGCTACCTAAATCACAATCGCTTTCGGCTGTGATAGGACGATAAGGATAAATGCCGGATACAAAAGGGATTCCGTACCTCGCCGGGGAGATTTCCGAGAATGGTTCAATTGGGTAGAAGCAATTGGGTTTTGTGCTATTTGCTGGGGATCGACGGTCACTGCTAAATGGTCGACTGTTTTGTACATATTGTTCGACGATGGCTTAGGGGTCGTTTAACGTTGTTGAGTGGCTTCGGAGAGATTTTCCTCTGAATTGCCCTCGAGCCAGGTGGTTGGCTGTAATAATCCAATTAAAGTGAGATGGACTTTGGGATGAATGATGGTGGAGTTTATTTATTTTGACCGTACCGTCAGTTGGGGATTGAGGTCTGTCCAATAGCCGTGTCTGTAGATCAACGCAGTGTGGAAGCATGTGATTCGGGAGGCACGGGTTCGAATCGCAATTCAACAGCAGCCCTTCTCGGGTCGTTGATAAAAACCCTTCATTCTGCTAAATTAAAAGTCCACCGTACCCGCAAAATGAAATTCCATTATGCTCAATAAAGCCTGAATCACTATTCAATATTCCTGCCATACCGTGGACATCCAGCACAGCGGCCAACGATTCTGCAAATTTAATTATCTCTCACCATTGACTTTCACGAGCACAAACATTCGCTTCCTGGCGTAGCGCAAATATCCTCATCCGAGCACTCTCGCCGTCCGTCCGTGAGCCATATGCAAACTGACTACTTCCCCTTCCACCACCCAAAACCCCACCAAAAGGCAAAAACAATAAACTCGAACTGGATGTTCTAAACCATCAATGTGGTGAGGTCAACTGTACAGAACCTGTTTGTGTTTGTGTTTGTCTATTTGCAGAGTTTCTTCAAACGCACCTGAAAAACGTCCTGGCGAGCCATCAACAACAACAGCCGGAGTATGTGACCGTCAGCGGTCTTGGTGATGGTGCGGTGGCCAATGACGGTGGTGGCGATGGAGGAACAACAAATATGAACCACCAACCGTCGTCATTAGTGTCATCACAGCAGCAACAACATCAACAACAAACGGTGCCCACATATCAACAGAGCTCCCCCTTCTACTCGAGCAGCAGTGGGAAAGGATCCACCATTTCCTCGACCGCACTTGGGAGCAGCACTTTCCGGTCCGGTGGCTGCAGTGGAGGTGAGTAATGATGTCGGATATGATTGCAAACGGACTGAGAGTGATGGAAATCTGTGTGGTACAAATCCATTTCCCTTGGTTGATGGATGGGTGGAGAGAGCGATGCTAATGGGATTTCAACGTCAGTTTTTGTTTTAAAGATGGTTCACTGATTTGGATTTGATTTGCTTGAAACAGTAAACAAAACTCAAGAAAGGGTGTTAGATAATTTGAAGTATACAGTAGAATTTGATAGTATGTAATACAGTTGTTGAAACTACGCTGTGTCTTTTTCCACTTTGCTCGATCCTGAGCCAATGATTGCCTCTAGTCGTAATGGACCCTTGTAAGAGCCATAAATTAGCGGAAAGCATAGAGTAATTTCAGGTGAAGTACTAACGGGATTCAAGGCTGAACATTTTAAGGGATTCCTTGGAAAAATTCAGATAAAAGTTCATGAAGAGTTCAAGCTTTTTCATGAAAATAGTTTAAGGAGGGTTCCAGGAGGACCTTAAGTAATTTTTTAAAAGAAGTCTAGAGAAAGTTTTTAGGAAAACGATTTGAATTGAATTTAGTGGTGCAAAGGGAAAACGTGAAAGATTCAGTGTTAGTTTTGCAATTTTTTTTTATCATTGGACTACAGGTAGAGTTTATGTTTATTCGAACAAAAAAAAGGGGGTGGCTAAATTTTCCGGAAAACTTAACTTGGTGTTTTCCCGGACATCACGTACTTTGAAAATGCAACTCATGAACCAAGCATGCTAGAAAGATCTTTGTGTAGTGAAATGATAAAGAAATTAATTCAGAAAATCATAATAAATATAATCTGAAAAATGTGTTGCGCCAAAATGTTCACAGTGGAGGAAAATCGCAATGAAAATCAAGAAAAACCATTACTTTATGTATTAACATTTACAACTTATAGCTTGGTGCCACCTTCATATGGGTCAAAAGTTATTAAAACATGTATGCAGAATTCAACATTTGTGCAAAACTATCAATTTTAGTTGCGAGATCAGAAAAGAAACAGTTCGGTACAAATACTTGTGGGGTGAAAAGTAACCTCCTTGGGAATGAAGTTTTAGCTCGATACACTTATACCAGCGATTTTCCAACTTCATGATCCCGTCCGAAATGTAATTTTCCGGAAGGTCTGCAAAATAATCCTCCGCGGCGTCGATGATTTCCTCACGTGAGCTAAATTTTTTATTGATGAGCCATCTTTTGAGGTTTGGGAAGAAATAATGGTCGACCCACCTTGGCCGCTTCGGAGCACTCGTGCCGGCTTTAATCCATTGCTGGGCACTCATTCTATTCTCTGGGATGTAATAGTGGATCCAGCTTTCATCAACAGTCTTTCTAAGGGCTCTCGCGTTCGTGTTTTTGGTCAGGAGTGCGGCAGGATAACTTTTTCATATGCGGAATCCCACCCAAAATATGGCATGTGCGCACAGTACTAATCTTTGCGGTATCTGCTAGCTCACGCACCTTCACTTTCCGGTCAGCCAACATGTATTCATGTATGTTTTTTTTTACGTAGGACTACGTCTTTAATTTCTATACTGGGGTACACTTTGTGAAAACCGAAAATGGAACATGAAACAAAATTATGAAAGATTTTGAACATTAATAACTCAGCTGCCCCTGAACCAATTTCAATAATTTTATCACCAATCGATCAGAAATATTTCTACACAATACTTCCAACTGATAATTTTCAACATACTATTGAAAAAGTGGTAATGTCAAGCATTATCCAATGTACAAATAAAAAGCGATAATTTTATCACTGTTTTCATGAAATAAACGTTCTTCTCAAACCCAGTCGTCATAATCGCGAACCACTTGGTTGCACATCATTCTGCTTTAACCTGAAAAGATATAAAACAACGCTGCTCTCTAGCCTCAACTCATTTTCGCTTCGGACGCCGTGGTGAGCAGGCAGAAGAAGCCGCAAAAGCAGTCGTCTGGCTCGCCGTGGCGGTGTCAAACGTATCTCCGGTCTACGAGGTGTGCTGAAGGTGTTCCTGTAAAATGGGATCCATGATGCTGCCACGTACACTGAACACGCCAAGCGTAAGCGGTCATGGATGTGTCATCTACGCTTTGAAGCGACAGAGACGCACTCTGTACCGTTTCGGAAGTTAAATTATCACCAACTTTGGCAACAAACGGCCCATTTCAGAGCTACCAAGCTTATTACAGTAAAGAGTAGGAATGGAATTTATCTACCTGTTTGTCAATATTCAGAACCACACGCCCCCAACAACCACATAAAATGCTCTTGTGATCAAACTTGAAAGCAGGGGTACAAATGATTTTGATCGATTCTCTTCATCAACTTTCTCATTGGAAAAAAAATAACACAAATTTGGAACGCCTACAATTAAAAAAACGGAAAGAGTTAAGATAATGATGATCGATAAATTAAAATGTTTGTCAAGCTTCAGCATCCATGTGACGTCGATCGAAAACTACGCACAATCTGTTTTCTAACTGTTCACAGAAGACAGTGCAGTGCAAAACATATCTGGTACCTCGATATCTGCATTTAGATTAATATTCGAAGTCCCCTTTTATTTCTCGCCCCTCAAAGAATTTCCCGTCGATTTTTATATGTGGAACGGGACAGAAAGTATCTCTTGTGCAGAATATGAAAAATACGAGGGACTTCGAATGTTAAGCTCAAACAAACCAATCCCACACCAAAGTGGTCATTCTTAAAACAGGCCTGATTGGACTAGGAACTGTAATTAATAATAATTGAAATTCAAAAGAACTAAAGTTGAAAAGACGCATCTGTGACACTTGATAAGTTAAACATGTAAACCACACAAATTCAAGAAATAAAGAACATTTAAAGTTTAAAAAAAGAAAAGTTAAATGTTAAACTAAATGCATATATAGAGGTCCCGAGCAAAGTCTGAGATCAAATTGAAATCTAAATTTGATGTTGTGACTTCGCTGATAATGATTACTCAGGTTGCTGTCGTTTTGGTCGTTTTAACGGTTAAAATATCAAAATTGAGAGCAAAAACATCTTCCTGTGACATCACATTGAAATCTATTTCTGCTATCAGTGAGAGCAAACTGAAAACTCAATTTGATATCAATCTTTCCTGTTGATAACAAAACAAGTATTCAATTTGATGTTATGCTAAGGCAATGAAAACAAACCCACAATAACATATTTCTGAAGAGCAAATGTACAGCAAAATGAAAACAAAACTTGATATCAAATTTGTCAATTGCGTAAACTGAAATCAAATTATGATTTCAGTTTGATGTTGAAATCAAAACTTGATTTAAATTTGCTATCATTTTGATGCTGGACTTTGCTCGGGGTACCAGACATGTTATGTAGTGACAGGTACTCTATTTTGTAATCTGTGAAAGGGAAATAACTGATCGAGTGTCATCAAAATACATGGCATGTTGAGAGATTGAGGTCGTGAGGGCAAATTTTCTCTCTCCAATTTGAATTTTTTGGCTCTCTGGGGACTGGTATGGGGAAAAATCATTTTTATTTAATTGTAGCCTAAACATAATTGTAGTTAAACATTAATTTCCGGGGGAAAACTGAACTACAAAGTCCCTGCCAGATTTCTTCAGGTTGACGTTTACTTTTTTTGACCTGAATATGCATCGAAATTATTCCCAATTCTCTCAAATTTTATATGGGGATTTTTATCACTTCCTACCAGCGGAACAGCGCCATCTCTTTGAAAAAATGGCCGAACGATATGATTAATTAAAAGAACTAAATGCTCTTCACATTTGTTCTGTTCACTAGCGGTCTTACGTCAAGCTTCCGTTCGTACTCCTAGGCACAGACCCTTCTACTTTTTTACATTTTCCTCTGTAATCGCATCGGAGGGCCTGCCGATACGGACTTAATCGGTTTTCTTTTGTTTCCTTCGCCGTTTTGCCTCTCAAAAAATAATGTTTTATGAGAGAATGAAAATCGTATTTATCCATACTCAACATGATGCCATTTACGTCAACAACAATTAGCTGTCAAAACAAAACTAAAGACAGTATCGCACTGAAATTTGACATGTCTGCCTAAATATAAACGAACTACAAGGCAACATAACCTTTTTTGCAGTAGCAGCGCATTCTGGCGGTCAAGGAGGTTACTTTTCACCCCACCTAGTATTTTCACCTATCAAAGTGCTATAAGCTATAAGCGCCCAAAACCTTTTCGTGACATTCGCAATTTTAGATTTTAGATTTACAAATTTCGCCATCATCTATTGAACTCGCAGCTTGTCAACCTTAGTGACCAATTTTTTTTTTCAACATCTGGCAAGCTCTGCAGAATCTCAAGTCACGTTACCAGTCTTCCGCTTGATTAAAGCCAAATAGTTCTAAAATGGGCGTAATTAAGGACAATAGCACCTCCAGGCTGTAGTGCGTTTTTCCCGACACTCTTGCTTGTACACCTTCGAATCCATCCTCTTATGTTTATGACGAGATACTGGGTTTTTCGTCCGCAGATGTAGTCAACACATTCAAAAACCGACAACTAGGGGTGTTCGATAGCTGTACTGGTTCCCTTCAGATTACCCTCCTAAATCGCCAAACGCAGAAAAATCCGTGGGGTTGGTTGGGGTGGGATGATTAGTAACCAATCTTTATTGTGGGAGAATTCGCCACCGTTTTCGCCGGTTTCTTCGTTGTATAAAAATACCAGTGTATAGATTCAACACTTAACACTTAGGCTATATATTCTACTAAATCAACTAACAAGTACTACAAATATAACTTAGGATAAAAAAAAACGTACGCGACGCGACTGCTGCCCGGATTTCAAGCTTACTCCAACTCTCTTTTTTGGCTGTTTTGCGTCGCAAAAGGCCCAAAAAACTATTGTCTAATCATTAGATTATTCGCAGGTGAATTCCTGTTGTCGTTGGTAACCGATTGGTAACCGTACTTCGAGGAGATGCGCTATGGCACTTATCTGCAACTGCAAGATCCTTGCCCCCCTGAAACAACCGGGGTTTCAGATGGTTACA